GAGTAGAAGAAAAGGAAAGTGAGTTCTCTCCCTGCCTGACTGCTTGAGCTGGGACATGGCTCTTCCCCTGCCCTCGGCACTCCTGGCTCTCAGGCCTTCAGACTCAGACTGGAACCTACACCACAGGTTCTCTGGCTCTTGGGCCTCTGAACTACACCATGAGCTTTTCTAGGTCTCTAGCCTGCAGAGGGCAGCTTGTGGGACTTCTTGGCCCCCATAATTATATGAGCCAATGCCTTATAATAACCCCTTTCTAGAAACATATATGCATCCTATTGGTCTCTTTCTCTGGATGACCCTAATATTAATACAGGTAGTATCTGCCCCAGGAGGAAGCAGACGCCTGATGGGTGTAGCAGGCAGCCTTCAAGGTGGCCTCTAGTGACCCCTGCCTCTTGCTAGTCACACCACTGTGTGTTTCCCCCAACACTGAACCAAGGCTGACTGTGATTACAGAATACAGCAGAAGCAATCCTGTGTCACCTCCAAGGCTTGGTTATTAAAAACACGGTGGCTTCCAGCTTGGGTGCGCCCACTCTTGCTCCTGGGTTACTCACCCTGGGAAGTCAGCTACTGTATTGGGAACAGCCTCACGGAGACGCCCATGTGGCAAGAAGTTGAAGCCTCCTGCCAACAGCAACAGGATGACGCTTGCAAGTGGATCCCCCCATCCCCAGTCAAGCCTTCAGATGACAGCAACTCCGGCCAACAGCTTGACTGCAACATCATGAGAGGCCCTGATGCCCTGGCTAAGCCATTCCCAGAGTCCTAATTCACAGAAATTGTGGGGGATCATAAATATTTGTTGTTCTAAGCAACCAAGTTTGAGGATAATTTGTTACACAGCGAGAGCTAATACTGCTATAATACAATGACAAGAAACAGAAAATAAGCCCTCACAATAATTCAAGAACCCATTTACTTGCTTCCTTCAAAGCCACTTTTCCTCATATAAATGTGTGTCTTTTTTTAACATGTCTCATAGCTTCAGTTTTCTTAATTCAAAAGGAAACAAGGCAATCGATTATTTAGAGGAATGTGACTTACAGAGCCTTAATTGCAAATGATTATTATGCCTCTGCCTCAGGAACTCGCAGCTGCCCAGGGCCAAAAAGCACCAGGCTAGTTACACGACCTTGTTCTAGAAAATCTAGTAATTCCTAGCAAAAGGAATGTGTCATCAAATGCACGATTTGCTTGGTGACATTCAGTTTTACAACCATGAACTCAGAGCCAGTGAAACACGCATATACACAAGCACATACTTAGCATTCAGATATTTCACTTTTCTGAGTAGGAGATAGACTAGCTCCTAATTCTTTCTGCACCACTGCTGTTAAAATAGACCTTTTGATGAGGTAAGGAGACATAATTATTATAGTCAAGAAAAATGAAAATAATAGTTAACATTTACTAAGTATTTATCAAGCACATTGAGCAATACATGGTCTCTCGTTTTATTTATTCAACAAAACTCTATGAGGTAAAGAGTTTTCTTATTACCATTTTAAAACTAAGGAAACAGGCCAAGCGCAGTGGCTCACACCTGTAATGACAGCACTTCGTGAGGCCGAGGCGGGTAGATCACTTGAGCCCAGGAGTTTAAAACCAGTCTGGACAACACGGTAAAACCCCGTCCGTACAAAAAGAGAGAAAAATTAGCTGGATATGGTGGTGCCTGCCCACAGTCCCAGCTACTTGGAGGCTAAAATGGGAGAACTGCTTGAGCCCAGGAGGTGGAGGCTGCAGCGAATTGAGATCGCATCACTGCAGTCCAGCCTGGGTGACAGAGTGAGACACTGTCTTAAAAAAAAAAAAAAAAAAAAAAAACACTAAGGAAACAGAAACAGAGAAGTTAAGTAACTCACCCAAGGTCACACAACTAGTAAGCAGGAGAGCCGTGGTCTGACCCCGTCAGTACAAGGCAAGCACCTGTACCATAAAGCCCCAGCTATACCCACCTGCACTGTGACCCCTGCACCTGAACACCCACGCAACTGAGGAAAGTGTAGTGCTGGTGACTGAGCCTCACCTTCCAGCCTGTGACACTCCACTGCCCCCTCCTGTGCCCCAGCAGCTACAGCCACCCACCCCCAGGTAACAACTGCCAACACTGACAGCTGCTTTTACTCTGGCCAGAAGCAAGAAGAAAGTTCTGACCATTGGCAGAGGTTAACTCTATCTGGAACATGTCAGCAACGGAATTTTTCAAAACTTACATATCCAGCTGATTGGTTTGCCTACTTCTAGTTTCTCCTTTTGAAATATTGGTCTGTTTTACAGATATTGGTTCCTTCTGCCTGCAGACTGCAAACTTTCAGACACCTTAAACTCTTAGCTACCCACTGCTTAAGTAGGGATTATAAAACTGCCCAGTTAGGAAATTGGTTTTATCTACCCCATTTATGGGATAAAATTTTCCCAACAATTGTCATGCACTAAAACACGCTTCCTGTGGAATACACTTAGGATGCCTTGCTCGTGTCCACTGCCATATGCACCCTCACTTCTTTTCCTCCTCATTCAGCCCCTTCAGCCGGATGAGATCATCCTCTCCATCCCAGAGATGAGGAAGCACACACGTGCAGAAGTTGAGCCATTCACCCAGAAACACACAATTTGCAAGTAATGATGCAAAGACTCAAGACTACGCTAACTGCTAATACAAGCCATTAAATGACACGGAGGCTGGGCATGGTGGCTCACGCCTGTAATCCGAGCACTTTGGGAGGCTGAGGCAGGCGGATCACCTGAGGTCAGGAGCTCAAGACCAGCCTGGCCAACATGGTAAAACCCCATCTCTACTAAAAATACAAAATGTTAGCTGGGCATGGTGGCACATGCCTGTAATCCCAGTTACTTGGGAGGCTGAGGCCGGAGAGTCACCTGAACCCAGGAGGCAGAGGTTGCAGTGAGCCGAGATCATGCCACTGCACTCTAGCCTGGGCACGACAGAGCAAGACTCCATCTCAAAAA